TGGTTAGCTGTTTACCCATAGCCAGGCAGTGGCCACCGTTATGGAAAGCACAGTCCAATCCTATTTCCTTGCAAAGGGGAGGCGGGTGGAGGCAGGCTGTGGGCTAGCTGGTCAGTAGTTTAATTTAGAAGTAGTTACTGCTAGGAGCTGGTAAGTTAACTGACGTGCCTATTATTCCAAACCATTTGGGGAGTTCAGAACTGTCTGTGCCCTTTTGAAATTTCCGATGGTTGTTGAATTCAGATAAATACCTATGAAACAGTAAGTGTCTAGTTAAGTAATAAGTTAATGAGTGTTCTGGGAGGTCAGAGGTCAGGAAAATCAATGATGATTTGCTTTTGCTCTGTCTCCCTCCTTCCCCATCCTTCCACACACACATGTTTTTAATCAGAAGTATAACTGGTTATAAACTAAAATGTAAGTTGGAAATTAAGTATTTTGTACAGCTTCAGAATGACCCTTTATGAAATTCCCAACTTGTAGATTGATGACTACAGCATGGTTCGATTTTTGCCTTACGATCAGTCGGATGAAGAAAGCATAAACATTGTGTTACAGCATATTGATTTTGCCATTCAGTATGGAGAAGACTTAGAATTCAAAGAACCAAAGGTAATTTTTGATCATTGGCTTTTGGTAACCATGTTTGCCAGCACTCACTGGCCTCCTGCATAATCCCAGCAACTCCTCAGATTTTGTCTTAGCAGCAGTAGTAACCTAGGTGTGTCGAGGGGCGATGTCTGAAGTTGACATCTGTGCTCAACAAGCAGTATCAGTTTCATTCTACCTGATATTGAGGCACTATTACCAAGTTTCTTTGTCCTCAGGGCTTGGGGATATGTACAAAGAGGGGATGAAATCCAGTTGAACTTGGGCCGCCCTCACATTTGTCAGTGGGAAGCCTGATGGTAGTTGTCGTAGGCCACTGTCTCAGCAAATTAGCTGAGGGTCAGCAAGTATAAACTCAAGTAAAAATGCTTCCAATGAGATATAAGTATTTTAATTTACCACATAGCTGGAAAAATTCTATCAATCATACCTTTTGCCGCTGTAAAAGATACAGCTGGGCATTATCTCCTGGTAGATGATTACCTGAAAAATAGGTAAGCACATGCTAGGTCTAACAAGGGAAATGAATATTTTCTGTTTTGTGTTTCCTTTGTGTCAGGAACATGAAGATGACTCTTCTTCTGTGTTTGATGAATATTTTCAAGGACAGCAGAAGGAATGAAGAATTTATCAGAGTAACTATATACGTGAAGCACTTGCTACTGAACCAGCAAGACATTCTTCTCTTAGAAGGATGCAATACTAGAAGGCTACCTGTTTTAATGAAAAAAAGCAATACTTGGCTCTTTATCAGCAGCATGCCTGAGTCAAATTCTAGTTATTTTGAAATGGCTGATGTTTCAAGTGGAATCTTTTAGTATTATTTAAACAACATCAATTTAGATTTTAAATGTTGAAATTGACATGAATGCACATAGACTTGTATATAAATGAGCATCAGTGGTACAGTTAGGACCCAGTCTGCCTTTATTTTTACTATTTGATTTTTATTATTTTTGAAGGTTTTTTGGAGAGGCAGGAATTATTGTAACAAAATATACACCTGTGTCCAAAGGAAAAAAATCTGGAAGGACATAGTTAAGACCATTGCTTATCTGTATGTCTGAGTTTTCTTACACTGAAAATGTATCATTTATGTAATTAAAAAGTGAAAAGTAAATGTTTTAAAATATATATATGTAGGGGCGCCTGGGTGGCTCAGTCGTTAAAAGAGTCTGCCTTTGGCTCAGGTCATGATCCCAGGGTCCTGGGATTGAGCCACCCCCCATTGGGCTCCCTGCTCAGCGGGAAGCCTGCTTCTTCCTCTCCCACTCCCCCTGCTTATGTTCCCTCTCTCACTGTCTCTCTCAGTCAAATAAATAAATAGTAAATAAAATATATATATGTATATAAATAAAAGAAATAGAAAGATAGCACTAACCTTTCATTACACTCCTGTTTTCCAGTCAGAACTTGAAATACTCAGGGCAAATTTTTGAATGAATAAATTTGCCCAGGTGTCAAAATATAGTCCTTGATTTCTTAAAAATGCAGTTTGTAGATGCTGAGCATTTAAAAATTTACACTTTACTGGAATAATAACAGATGCACACAAAAATGCCAAGGACATAATTTTTTTCTTTTTAATGTGCACATTGGTTGAATTGCTTATTTTCAGTGTTTTTAAGTTCAGTAGCATTGGGTGTGAAAGCATGCAAAGTGGCTAGTCAGTCAACAGATATTTCTCTAGCATCTACCATGGGCCAGGTCCTGCTAAAACAAAACAGAATCTAACTTAATGAGTTATGCAAGACCTTATGCTAAGAAATATTTTACATAATCTCTTTCATTTAATCCTCAACGAGACCTAGCTTCATTGGCCATTTGGCCCTGGATCGTCCAGCTAATACAGTTTAAGTCCTTATAGGAAACCCACAGCTCAGGTTAAATTTTTAATCATTCTTGGGCTAGATAGCAGGAGTACACCTGCAGTGTCCCATTTGATCCGTTTTAACTAAAGACATGCCAAGTGTGAGGAACCATAGCTATCAGTGGTGACTTGTGTCTGAGGGCTTAGGCTAGGGGCAAAAGTCAGGTATTTGCATCATGGTCCATTGGTGTGAGCTGCTGTCATGGGAGCAATCAGGAGAGAACATGAATGGGCATCTTGGGAATGTGCTGTCCTGCATGGGGGCTCTCCCTGTGGCCCTGAGTACAAACGGGTGAAAACACCCTGATCTCCAAGTATTGCTAATTCTTAGAAATTTTATTGTTACGGAAGAAAGGAAAGGCAACTTCATTTGCCCTCGTTGCTCCTAGAGCTATTCTTCCCTGGTTCAGCTTCTGGAGAGTCTAGTATGTGCCTCTGGGCAGGAAGTGAAGGGCCAGATTGAATTTCCTTCCCCTCTGGACACAGGTTTCAAAGATGCGTATGTCTATTCCAGTCCTCAAGGAATTCATTATCTTGGCAGAGAGCCTGACATGATTCTGTGGAAAAAATTTACTGGTGGGTGCCAGGCACTGGGGATAAAATGGGAGCACTCAGAGCAGACAAGGCCTTACTCTCATGGAGCTGACATACAGGGCCCTTGAGACCATAAGCAAGGAAACCTCGATAAGGAATGGGAAGAAATGAAAACAGTAATGAAATGGAGAATGACTAAGGGACTACTTGGGGCTCATTGTCAAAAGAAGTTTCCTGAGTGGTACTATTTGGCCAGAAACCTGAATGAGAAATCATTTGTGGGAACGTAGAGCAGAGTATTCCAGTCTGAGGGACTGGCAGGAGAAATAGCCTGAGGTAGCAATGAACTTGGCTCTTAAGGTGATGTTGGGGAAGATAATCAAGAGGATGTGACCACTGGTTGATCCTTGAACTGGGCCCAGGCAATGGGAGGTTCTTCACCCCTTCCACCCCTCACAGTGGGAGATGTTCCAAGGACACAGTCTGGAGAGAATAAGGTGTTGAGACCATTGGATGTGACTGAACCCAGTTAAGGCCTCCATATAAACTTAAAAGATTCTGGCAGGTAGGTGGGTGGAGAGATCTACTCTTGCCTCGCCAGAGATAATGTTAGGAGTTAGTTGGACAGTTAGGTAGTCAGGGCCAGGGTTCCCAACAAGAAAATATGGAGTCAGGACAGCTAAAATAAAACAGCACTGACATCCTGTTTGCAGCTTAGGACCGCACTGACATTCTGCTTTGCAGCCTTTGCAGAAATGACTTATGCAAAATGTCCTAAAACAAAACAATTAACCACAAAAGCATTTGTCAATATCACAGGCAAGGGGCAAGTAAGACATAAACCCCCAGATGTCAGAAAAAAAAAAAAAAGACCATCAGCACGTGGACATTAACCTAATAGGTATACAGACGCAAAAGAGCTCATAAAACACCTAAACTTAGAAACTCCGAGAGCAACCCACTTCTGTCCCCCTCCCTCTCCGGGAGCTTTGTTCTTTTGCTCAATAAACTTTGCTGCCCACCACTCTTCGTCTGGTCTACCTCTTCATTCTTCAAAGTAGCGTGACCAAGAACTGCAGGCACTAAAGGGACACAAAACCCTTTAACAATAAGCCTCACAAGTAAGTTCCCTCGCTTATTAAAACCACCACCTGTACATCTGGATTCTTCAGTCTGTCCTTAGCCTCTGTGTAGAAGGGCCAGTTTGCGAACTAACACATGAAGTGCTTTCTAGTAATAGGTAAAAAACTCCTGAACTTCTAGGGTGTTCCAGGCATGTGAGTTTTAAGCATTTTACATGTAGTTCATTTCATCCTCATGAAACAATGAGGTAAGTACTATTCTCTCCATTTTCAGGAAACAGGCACAGAGAGGTTAATTAACTTGCCCAGAATTACACTGCTAGTAAATGTTGGAGCTGGGATTCAAACCCAGAGTCCACTTTCTCAGTTTTTACACGCAAAAAACCTGCAGTACAGAGTAATACATAAATCCCTTCTCAGAGAGCTCCCCTTTACCCATTGTAAAATCCAGAACGAACCAGTTGGGTTCATTCACTCATCAAATATTTATTGATGTTTACTATGTATATCACTATTACAGGCGCAGGGGATGCAATATTGTACCAAACGGACAAAATCCCAGCCTTTTTGACGTTCACATGGATGGGGAAACAAATACCAAAAGTAAGCTAAATAATAAAAGAATCATAACTAAGGAAAAAAGAGGGAAATAAGGATGACGCAGGGGAGTGGAGTGGGATTGAATTTAAAATAGCGTGATCCAGAGAATGATTCACTGAAAAAATGAACTCTGAGGAAAAACCAAGGATTCTGTAACCCAAAAATCTAGCCCCCATTTTTCGCGCACCCTTTACGCATGCGCAGCACTCAGCCCCTGCCTAGTGCTCGGGCGCCCTCTGGCGTCCCTTCGACTGTGCGCAGCCGCAGCTGCCTGGAAGGACCCCAGCAGGACCGGAAGTGCCGCGTCCTCCCCTCACCCTCCCCTTCCGCCTAACTTCCGCCTACCTCGCCCGGGCCCCCGGACCGGAAGCGCCGCGCTTGAACCCCAACCTCCTCGTCTGTCTTGAAACACCAGCGCCGCCAAGATGCCGGTACGGGGGCCCAATTCGCGGTGTGGGGAGATGGCGAGAGCTGGGGGGGAGCAGCGAGAAATCGTGCGTGAGCTGAGAGAAGCGGGCGGAGGAGGGCAGAGAAGAAGCGGGGCCTGAGAAGGGGAGAAGCGAGGAAAGGGGGCCGGTCGCTGTAGGATTGGGTCGGCCCGGGGGTGTCGGCCAGGGGGGACGGGGCCGCGGCAGAGTGGGCCAGAGACCCTGAGCGTGCAGAGGAGGCTGCCTCATCCCCTCTCGCCCCCTTCGTTCCAGTGCTGACCCCTTCTCTCGCTCTTTCTGTACTCCCCTACTCCAGCAGGATTCCCGAAGATTCACTAGAGCTGAGAAGCCAAGGACTGTGCTTTTTATCTTTAATTTCTCAAGTCTGGGGTCCGGCTTCTTTTTGTCCCCGCCGCAGGCCCACTTCCTCCTCAACCCCAGGGGGCGGGTGCCTCCCGCTGCTTATCACTGTCATACTCCACTTCCCGGACTCCTCCTCTGTCGCCCCGGCAGTGGTGGCCACCCTTAGCTGCTGAGTGTAGGGGCCGCCGGAGCAGATGCAGAGCCCGCTCCTGGTTTCCAAATGTTTCTGTTTTCGTGTGCATCAGAGTAGGAGTAAAATTGTAGTCTGGTTGTCCTTCATTCTTGACAGCCAGTCTGGTGGGGTGAATTTATCGCCATCATGGTCTCCATTTTGCAGATGAGGAAAAGGAGCTTCAATAACGTGATTACTCACACAAAAAATATTACTGAGCACCTGCTGCATGCCAAGTACTGTCACAGCAGTGAATAAGGCCAACAAATCCCTACGCTCAAGGAGTTTACCTTCTAATGGGGAGACAGACAAACATGTAAACGGAAATAAAGAAAAAAGATAGTTTTAAAGTTGTTGGGGGTTTTTTTGTTTGTTTTTGAGAGAGAGAGAGAGTGGGAGCACGCTGGGGGCGGGGGAGCAGAGAGAGAGGGACAAGCAGACTCCACCGCTGAGCGCAGTGCCCGGAGCCCCCAGGGGGGCTCTATCCCACCACCTGAGATCCTGACCTGAGCCTAAATCAAGAGTCTATGGCTTAACCGACTGAGCCACCCAGGCACCCCTAAGATAGTTTTAGATAGTGACAAATGTGATGAAGGAAATAGATGGGTAACAAGACAGCTGGTGAAGGTGAGAGTGGAGGCTGCTTTAGATGAAGCATACCTGTGACAAAAAGGAGCAAGCCATAGTTAGAGATACTTAATGAATCCCGTTGGTACCATTTGATGCCTGATACGTGCCAGACAGGCGCTGAGCTACACATTGCATGTAAATTATCCCATTTAATCCTCGCAGTGACCCTGTGAAGTAGATACTCATTGTTCCCATTTTGCAGAGGAGGAAATTGAGGCTCAGAGAAGTACAGTAACTTACCCAAGGTTTCGGTACTAGTGGTAAAGTCAGATTTTAAGCTAGGACTTTATAAAGTCCTGTGCTCATTCCTGGACTTTGCTGTGATTTCTTATTTAATACCTGCCTCTTCCATTAGCTTGAAGGTTCTTCAAGGGCAGAGATCTTACTGGTCTTGCATACCATTTATCACCATGCCTTGCACATAGAAGGTGTTTGATAATTGTTTGGTGGATGAATGAATATGTGAATATATGAATGAAGCACAGGTATGCTTCTTGTGTTACTAAAAGCCAGACATGTTGTAAAAAGCAGAACTAGGAATCAGCATACAAATTGCTCTCATAAATGTGATTTCCCCTGCTCCTTTAATTCACACCTACCCAATGAGGGCAGTAGATGACTCTTCATTTTATAAATTGGGAAACAGGCTAAGAGAAGAAAAGTGATGTCTTGGTCAAACATAGCCAGGAAGTGGTAGAACTAAAAAGCCAGTGCTTGAGTTCTGGTTTAACTATAGCTGGGGGGGGCTGGGGGGGGGGGCGGTGTACTCCTGATTTATTATAGTGTCTGCCTATTTCTATAGTGTAAATACTCCCATCAGTTACCAATGCAATGTCACTGAACATGGAATTGGAAGATGCACAGTAGCACACCATTGCATAGTATTTCCGCCACAAAGATACAAAAGTTATAAATAACCTTAGGATCATAGACAATAGTAAAATAATTTTTTAAAATAGGAAATAGGGCGCCTGGGTGGCTCAGTTGGTTAAGCGACTGCCTTCGGCTCAGGTCATGATCCTGGAGTCCCGGGATCGAGTCCCGCATCGGGCTCCCTGCTCAGCGGGGAGTCTACCTCTCCCTCTGACCCTCCTCCCTCTCATGCTCTCTGTCTCATTGTCTCTCTCGCAAATAAATAAAATCTTAAAAAAAAAAAATTTAAAATAGGAAGTAATGAATTTTGAGTATTACCTTTGTTTTTAATATAATTAATTGCAAATTTATATAATTTAATTTTTAGTAACGGCTGTGTTTAACAACAGCTTGCCTCAAAATTTGTCAAAATTCCTCAGAATTTAGGGGCGCCTGGCTGGCTCAGTCTTCATGTAACTCTTGATCTCAGGATTGTGAATTCGAGCCCCATGTGGGGTGTAGAGATTACTTAAATAAATAAAAATATTTTAAAAATTGCTCAAGGGGTGCCTGGGTGGCTCAGTCAGTTAGGCGTCTGCCTTCAGCTCTGGTCATGATCTAGGGGTCCTGGGATCAAGCCCCACATTGGGCTCTCTACTTGGTGAGGAGCCTGCTTCTCCCTCTCCCTTTGCTGCTCCCCTTTCCCCCGCTTGTGCTCTCTCACTCTCAAGTAAATAAATCTTTAAAAAATATAAAATAAAATAATAAAATAAATAAAAATTTTAAAATTGCTCAAAATTTAACATTCAGTTTTCATGAGGCAATAAAAGCCAGCTCCAGCAAATCGCTGCTACCATCCCTTTTTCCTCCTCTCCTAGTTAGTCTTGGGTGGGTTCCTCTTTTTTTCCTTTGTAAAAATGTTACTTGTCTGCCCCGCTGACGTTTGCTCTCTTTGTCTCCGTATTTTTACCTGGCTTGACACTACAGGCTTACCACTCTTCTCTCATGGACCCTGACACCAAACTCATTGGAAACATGGCACTGTTGCCTATCAGAAGTCAGTTCAAAGGACCTGCCCCTAGAGAGAGTAAGTTGAAACTTCTTTCCATTATTTTCAGATTTTAGTAGGAAACATCTAGCAACTCTCTGACATTATCAAATCAGGCAAATTCTTAGCTCAGTCCTCTGTCTCACACTGCTCTTGTATTTTCTGTTTGCTTGATAGATATTGCCCCTCTAGACCTTTCAAGATCATGTATGTTGTATTGAGTAAGAAAGTGTATTATTGCTGCTGAGTTCTCTTGGATATTTTTTTGAGAGGGAAGAGGAAATGTGCTTAATTCTCGACACTGTTCTGTCATCACTCTTGGTTCTTACAAAGTGATCTAATGCTGCTACTTCTATAGAATACCATGTCCCCATCCTTTTTCTGTCATAAGGCTGGAGAAAAAAAACCCAAAACATTTTAACCCCTTCCCCCATCTATATCTACTTCCCTTATTCATTCTTCAGGATCTTCATTTTCAGCAGTACCTCGATCTTAAATCTTAAGTGTCCTGTGTAACATTACACATTCTTTCTCTTGCTTTTCTCAATTTTATATCTTTGCTTTCTTTTTTGGTACTCACTTTCTCTTTTTTCGAACCATTTCTTACTGTTTAGAAAGCCCCATTCTTTTTAGACTCTTCTGACACATTCTGAGATGTTCTGCCAACAGTATAATTTGTATTGTATTAGACATGGTTTCCCTGCACCATGTTCCATTCAAGCATCTGCATCTGAGTTCCATTCAAGGTTTTTAAGACCGTGGTTTTCGGGCGCCTGGGTGGCTCAGTTGGTTAAGCAGCTGCCTTCGGCTCAGGTCATGATTCTGGAGTCCCGGGATCGAGTCCGTCATCGGGCTCCCTGCTCAGCGAGGAGCATGCTTCTCCCTCTGACCCTCCCCCCTCTCATGTACTCTCTCTCATTCTCGCTCTCTCAAATGAATAAATAAATCTTAAAAAAAAAAATTAAAAAAAAAAAAAAAGACCGTGGTTTTCATTACCAATTTTGTACTGACCCATCTTCATTCCTCTGCCAGACTATTTGACGTGACCTCTTTTTAATTTTGTTTTCAACATCAGTTGAAAGTTCAGTAAACTAAATAAATTTGGTAAATCACCACAGTTTTTACTTGATTCCAAGATGAAGGAAAAGGAACAGATGGAAAAAAAAAAAAAAAGACCAAAAAGAAGAAAAATAATCTAAAAGAAATACAGTGCAAAGAAAGATTAAAAAATAATATTGTCCCAGATTCCTTGAGAACCCTTTCAGATCTTTACAGAATACCATGTAGCATATCAGAAGATGCAATTGACCAAGGATGGAGTTTATCTAATTACCACCTCTGCAACAATTCATGGGCCCTTGAGGGAGAACAGGACCCCAAGAAACCAGATCTTCATGGTTTCTGTAGACAGGGAATGACCTGTTACTCTTCCCCAGGGGGCAGGATTAGAATGAACTGGAATCATGAAGGAGTACAAGCCTATGCTGGAGCTAAATAACTGTTAGCATTAATCAGGTTCATTTATTTACATTCATCAGAGACCTTTTTAACACCTTTGTGTGCCAAACACCCTTCTAGGTTCCAAATCTTGTAGCCCACCCCCTACCCCCACATTGTTACGTTTAGAACTAACTGGTTTTGTAAACACTGAATCCTCTGAGGAAGTGTCCTTTCTGCAGATAAGAAAATTGCAAGAACAGGAGTCTAGAGTTAGAATTCTGTTGAAATTCTTTAGCAGGGGAATGAGCAGGGTTAAAGACAGCTAAATCAGAGTACTAAACCTCCAGGATTACTTTGCATTTCTGCGGTATGAGAGGGATAGCGGTTATGGACAAGAAATATAAATAACTCTGAAAAACAAAAACAAAACTGTCTCTGCATTGCTGCAGCCGCCTGCCGGATATCAAGACCCTGGGATTTTGACCTTTTTGAAATAAGAAAAGGAAAACAAAAAACTGCCCAAGAAATTGTATAATGAGATCTATCTTTGTCACAACAGTATTTCTGGCTTTTCTCAGTCTCCAGCCACCTAGAACAGCTTGTACAAGTATATTTTAAGTCACAGTTTTCATAAAAAGAAAGACGTATGTGTGAACCCAGTGTGTTCCTAAATGACAATTGAGATTTTTTTTTCCCCCTGAAACTGCAGTATGTTAATTCATATAAAATTACATTGAACACTTTTTATTTTTAAACAGGATTTTATCAAAGTTAGTCTGTCTCAGTCTATTTTTATAAGTGCATTGAGAGATGTCTGGAATGATGTTCACGAAATGTTAATAGTAGTTATTTCTAGGTAGTGAGATTTAGGGTGACAATAAAATATTTTTTCTGTACTGATTAATTTGTTTCTAATGAGTAGACTTTTTATAAAAACAGTAGAGCTATTAGAATAAACCATGTGCTTATTTTTCTAGAAATTGTTTCTGAAGACCTTATGTTTCAATGGCCTCATTTTATTTCACTCAACTCCAAGACTTTTGACCATTGACCTGTTTTTTTTTTCTCTATAGCTTTGTTAAGTGTTATTTTTACATTTAGCTAATGTTCTCTGCCTTTCTCCCCTTGTGTCCTGTTTAGCAAAAGATACAGATATTGTGGATGAAGCCATCTATTATTTTAAGGCCAATGTCTTCTTCAAAAACTATGAGATTAAGGTAAAGTACAGAGCTTTTAATATTTAATTTAGTATTCTGATGGGGATAATAATCTACCTGGCAGTCAGGGTTGTTCTGAGGAGTAAATAAAATTGAATGAGTTTGCATGACCTTAAAAACCCAGAATAGTACTTAGTATTAGACTCTGTATCAGTATTAGTTTCTCATTTTTCCTCCAAAGTGTATACCACGGATCAGCAAACTATAGCCTGAGGGCCAAATCTGGCCCACTGCCTCTTTTTCTAAATAAAGTTTTATTGGAACACAGCCACATTCATTTTGTAATATATTGTCTATGGCTGCTTTCATGCCACAGCAGCTGGGTTGAATAGTTGTGACAAAGACTGTTTGGCCTACAAAACCGAAAATATTTAATATCTGGTCTTCTCTAGAGGAAGTTTGCCAACCCATGATCTAGACGCTTTTATTCATTCAACATTAATAAAGCACCTACTATGTGCCAGTCCAAAACTTAAAAAAATTCTACATTGTAGCTATGTTATTTTTATATATTTTTATGTCCTGGACCTGAGATGGAGAAATAAAGTTCAGTGATCCTGACCCTTCCCTCAGCTACCTTTTCTTCCTTTCTGCTCTTAGCTCTTGTGAGGAATGAGGTCAAAAGGAAGTTTAGAAGGAGGGTGGCAGAAAAGGAGAGGGAGAAATAGGAAAAAAAAGAACTTTTCTGAGTTCATCCTATGAGCAAGTTACAGGAATGTCAACAACTTCTCTTGATAATATTCCAGAATATGGAACTTCAGCCTCTCCTTGACAAACTTTGACCTTTTGGAATCAAAACGGTGTGAAATCTTTTTTGCAGGCTCTTGGTTTACAAGTTGTAGTCTAAACATCCTATGACATTCATGGTGTTTTTTGTATTTAATGCTCGGTCTAAGTGTGATGTTTGTAGTAGGTGTAAATAAATGTAATTCTGCCACATTTCATTCTCTCCTGAATGTCCTATGCCCTTAAAAATAGGGGCAGGTGTAGTTTGTTTTTTTTTTTAACTGTAAATCTGTGTAAAATCTGACCTCCAGTCTTCACATTTTCCTTTTGGTTAGATCAAGAGTTGGGCTCTTGGAGCTCTTCAGGAACAAGAAACACGTGAAATAGCTGTTTCCTCCTTTAGAGTCAGGAGTGCTTTTGTTCTCGGCAGAGATCCTGAAGTGAGGAGGTTTTAAAAGTTAGCCGACCATATGGTACACCTCAGGCTTTCCAAGCAGCTCTGTTAAATTCTCCTTCCTACACGGAGGGAGGGGCTGTTGGCACAGCATCCTGGGACCCAGAGGCAGGGCCGCCCCACAGCTCTGGATGGCAGGAGGTGGCTCCCTCCCCCGGAGTGGACAGAAAGGTGGCTTGGGAAGACTGCATTTGGCGAATGGGAACTGTTGATGCTGTAGGAACTACATTTGCACAGTTTTCAGTTGATACTCAAAAGACAAAGCTTGAATTCATTTATTACACATGATAGTTATGTTTTAATCAGGACTGTTTTTAACTTTTGTTCCTCCCTCACCCCTCCTCCCCCCTTCACCCCGGCCCCTGCAGAATGAAGCTGATAGAACCTTGATATATATAACTCTCTACATTTCTGAGTGTCTAAAGAAACTCCAGAAGGTAATTAAACTTGGATGATTGTCTATCAGAAAAACACAATACTGATACATGTTCACCCTCCTAGCTATCTGGACTTGTTGAGACTTTAAGGACAAGTAGATAATACTTCCTCCCACTTAGAGCATGTACCTAAGAGGAAAATCTGAATGTGGATTCTAAACAGTAGTTTAGTTGACTAATGAGAAGATAAGGGGCTGGTGTTTTAAGGCTTTGCATGTATTTTCCCAAGACAGAAATCTTCCTCAGCCCCAGGTTAAGAACCTCTGAGCCAAGGATATAAATCAACGGTTCATGAGCTTGAGTGGGAAAAAGATTACGTCTTTCTTTTCACTAACTTGTAACTGAGATTTAGCATTTACTTTAATTATTAATGTAGGCAACAACCCACAGTAGCATTAGCCATACCTGTAACTTTTTCTCCAGGAAAAATCACAGCATTTTCCTTTTTTTTTTTTTAAGATTTTATTTATTTATTTGACAGAGAGAGCACAAGCAGGGGAAGTGGGAGAGGGAGAAGCAGACTCCCCGCCCCGACAGCATTTTCATTTTACATTTAGAGTTGAAGTTATTTTGAAATTTTATTTTCACTCATTACTACTTCAAATTTTAGTTATTAGGCCCATTGTGTTAATAAAGAAGCACATGCATGTGTGTGTCATAAATTTGGCTTTTTAATACTGTAATTATTGTGTTTGACTATAATTGATTTCTTTTATAATTTTGTGTATTTTATTTAATTCATTTAAAACATTATTCTGGGGATGCGTAGGTGGCTCCGTCAGTTAAGCATCTGCCTTTGGCTCAGGTCATGATCCCAGGGTCCTGGGATCGAGTCCCATATCAGGCTCCTTGCTCGGTGGGGGGCCTGCTTCTCCCTCTGCCGCTCCCCCTGTTCATGCACGCTCTCTCTCTGACAAATAAATGAATAAAATCTTTTAAATAAATAAGTAAAACAATAAATAAATGAATAAAACATTATTCTGAGGAGTCCACAGACTTCCCTAGATTGCAGAAGGGCACCCAAATACATTAGTAATCCCAGGCATATCTACTTAGACTAAAACAATTACAATTACAAATTGGATGTTATTATCCTTTTCTCTGTAAAGTATGTGTGTGTGTGTATAATTTTTTTTAGTGCAATTCCAAAAGCCAAGGTGAAAAAGAAATGTATACGCTGGGAATCACTAATTTTCCCATTCCTGGAGAGCCTGGTTTTCCACTTAATGCAATTTATGCCAAACCTGCAAACAAACAGGAAGATGGTAAGAACAGGGTTTCTTCCTTCCTCTCTATGGCACAAGATCTCCTCCATTTGACTTTTTACCCCCCTTCTTTGCTTGTCTTGATTGGTGTACACGTCGAGAGTGGAATCATAGCACGGATAATATCTTACCAGTCACTCTCTCAAAACATTCTTGGTGGGACACCTGGGTGGCTCAGTAGGTTGAGCCACTGCCTTCAGCTCAGGTCATGATCCCAGAGTCTGGGGATCGAGTCCCACATCAGGCTCCCTGCTCAGTGGCGAGTCTGCTTCTCCCTCTGCCTGCCTCTCCCCTTGCTTGCGTGCTCTCTCTCTCTCTCTAATAAAATCTTAAAAAAAAAGAAAAAAAGATTCTTGGTAACAAGTATAACACATAGAGAATCTTTTGAACCAAAATAGTTATAAAACCATTGGGACTGTCATTTCTGTTTCTTAATCCTGTTTGAATGTGTAGAAGTGTATTGCCAACGTCATTGTGCAGACCAGCGACCAGCACATGAGGGATACATTCTCAGGATTTTTTTTATTGTTCTGCCTGTTCCTTATTTTAGAGGTGATGAGGGCCTACTTACAGCAGCTGAGACAAGAGACTGGACTGAGACTTTGTGAGAAAGTTTTTGACCCTCAGAATGATAAACCTAGCAAGGTAAGACCCTCTTCTTTACCTATTTAGTTGGTAAATAACCTTTTATCATGTAGCTACTATTAAACAAACTAAGGTTTTCTATGGCGAGAATACTTTTTCTGCATTGCAGTGTTGCTTAACTACGCGGTAGGGATTCACTGAGTCACACTACATAATGAATTGCATATAATAAACATTTTTGGTTGTTTGTTCTTATGTTAGGGCATTGTAAACCCATAGGGCAGATTTTTTGTGTGAGATATCTTGAATGTATTACTTTTTTTGTCGTCATTATTTTGACTTGTGAGTCAAAAAAACATTTTTTAACGTGTTGTCAAGAAGTTTATAAAATAAGGGATGACAGACCAAGATTAAATTTTGTTATTACATAAATTCCTATTCTGACCTTACCTTGAACTTGCATTGTGATTTGACCACCACCCTTCTGTTTTATCCCCTCTTGCTAGTGGTGGACTTGCTTTGTGAAGAGGCAGTTCATGAACAAGAGTCTTTCAGGACCTGGACAGTGAAAGGAGCCTGAGCAGACACTTTCCACAGCC